GGCAGGAGTTACAGAGCAGCTGCTGGAAAAGACCGAGCACCAAGTGGACATGTCAAAAAGATAANGCATGATCTGGCAACAGCATGTGGGGCAAGTGAAGAGGAGATGTGGGTGTACCATTAAAAAAACACGATGACTGATAGGCATGTGGTAAAACAAATGCCTGAACAGAAAACTAGAGGATATTAGACAAGAAGCTTTGCCAAAGGTAGTGAAAGATTGGGACAAGAAGTCCCCGAAGAAAGGATGCGATGAAGAATATGTGGAACCACTTCTGTAGCATGCATTTCATAGTTGGCTTGGCTACATCGGCAGAAGCAGGACTGAAAACATTTGAGAATGCATGCACGTGCACAGATCACAGTTCCTCAGGTGCCACAGGGGCAGAGACGTTCTTCCCATCACAAGGAGAATCAGGAGCACATAGGCTAGTTAGAGCCGTCTGCAAGGCATTTTCGCATACTGGAGCCTGTGAGAAGTCGGGACACCCCAAAGAATTTGAGGCCTTCTTGCAGTCCTGTGTCCCTGCCAAGGTCAACAAACTGATCTCCTTCAGAGGAGAGAGATTCAATGTTCTATTCAAAAATGGTGGGGCAACATACCACCATAAAGACGACTTGTTAGCATACCTCGACACGTGCGAGGCACCTAACAGACTCCTACAGGCTGTTCGAGCAGACCTCAGTGTTCCTGTGTATGTAGCAGGCTGCTGTGCACTGGGTATCATCAATAAGATTGTAACAGCTCCTCTCTGGAGATTGGTAGAATCTGAGAGCAGCATACTGGACATGTGTCACATTTCCACCAGTTACACATCAGCTTCAGTTCTTTCATAAAGGATCCAAGCTCACTGATGGAGGGGGAAGCAATATTCCCTTCAGTGCAGGGAGAGGATGATGATGTTTACAAGTCACTGTTCTCGCATGATGATCCTGAAATCAAAAGGCTGACTTGTCAGGCACTGAAGAATATCATGACTGAGTTTGTTGTCGTTACCGAGAGAATGCTGAAAGACTACCTTCCAGGGGGAATCTTCCACAACCCAACAGAAGCACAGAGAGAGGAGATGGCTACATGTCCCACAAACAACACTGGTCTGGAGCGAACATTCGCGCATTTGGACCGGGACGTCAGGTTTTCACCAAATGCTACGACCCTGACAAGAGAAAGCAAGATAATGTTCCGCTTAAACAGAACAGGACAGTACCTGGACACCATACCCATGGAAGAGAAACATACCGTCTTTAAGGAAGCAAGGAAGGCTGCACGTACAGACAGGAAGCTTCACCAAGAGGAGCAGAAGCAGCTGAAGCAGCATCGTCAGGAGTTGTTGCATGCAAGGATACAAAAAAAGACACTGAAAAAGGCTGTCAAGGAAGCAGCACTTGAGGCATTGAAAAGTACTGTAAAACAGCTCGGGCTATGGGACTCAGCAGAACAGATAGAGGCTGGGCTGTTGAAACTTGTCACCAAAAAGTCTAGGATGCTGGCACTGAAACAACAGATTAAGTTCAGGAAGGAAGTGCTTGGTGACTGTGTTCATAACAAGTCCTTGTTTCAGTTTTCAAAGGGGGAAAGGCGCTTAAGGAGAATGACTTAAAACAGAACTTACTGATACTAGTCAGAAAGTGAGTTAGTATCTGAGTCTCCTGTGAGGAACTTGTACCAATTAGACATTCATAATATTTGTTAACACGGCCAATACTAGTTTGATGCTCAAGTACATCTTGCAGGCAATTTATTAATATCATCTGAATTGAAATGCACATATGACAATAAGGTATTAAAAAGCCTTAGCAGGTAAAATATAGGACTCTAGTTATTAATTAGCATATTTGTTAATTGCAATTGGATATTAAAAGTTATTTAAAGCTGCAGTTACATTTATACACCTTGTTCAAGTAAGCCAGGTACATCATTGAGTTGCATTACTAACAGCCAATGTATGTGGCTATCATTAACAATGTATACATTTCATTACATCTGACTCATTAGCATATTGCTAATTAGCATATCTTTAATATGTTAATATAATTCAATAATAAGTTGATATATATATACATTTTCCTGTTGTAATGGGATATACTTAGGTCAACATGCAAGCAGGTTAACACTTGAAATGTATGTTAGGAACAGATACATTGGATGTAGACAGTGTAATACAAATCATACAAAAATTGGAAAATATTCGAGAATAATTAAGCTCATTTGCATATTTTGCAATTAGGGAAGACATTGCAAAAAAATTCATATTCTTTAATGTGAATTTAACCGGAATGTAGGATTCAGAAAGTTGCCACTGCAAGCCCCTTCTACAATTTGTAGCATACTTAGAAAAGCAGCTCACTCATTGGTTGAATGACACTATTGTGCATGAGTAATTAGTTCGGGCTAATGTGCATAAGGTAATTAGCATATTGTTGATTGAAATAATTGTTAATTAAGAATATGAATATTACAGTTTGTTCAAATGTCAACAGGTTACTTTGACATTTTATTAGACATTATACAAAGAAAAGTGACATGTATCCTGATATGTATATCATATGTTGGTAATTAGGCTTATTTGCATATTTTGGTATTAATCATCCTCAATAATATGCTTTATTTACTTCTAAAGGGAATTTAGGACCACAAAATGCCTTTCTAGTATAGAGTTCTGTTCACAATTTGTAGCTTTTGTTACAATTTGTAGGAATCTCGTTACCCATAAAAATGATGTAATTATGGCTAGATGTAATAATTAGCCTAATTAGCAAAAATGTGTAAACTTTCGTATGTAAAAAGATGAAATTAAAGACCTTTGTGGCAAATTGTTTGATCCTAATATGCTGAAAATTTGAAGATTGTAGCATGAAAAGTTTAAGAGTTACAATAAAATGTATGTCAAATATTGTTGATTTATGGTCTCATTTGGTGCCATGACTAATTAGCTTATTCCCATAGGACCAATAGTTAAGCATCTTCCAATGAAAACGTCAAAATCGTAAACTTTAAAAAATTCTAAAAAATCTCAACTTTGTCCAATTCTTATGCGAAAGGAAGCATTCTGACCGGAAAAATCTACTCTATAACATGGAATCATTTTTAATAATCCCTGGTGCCCCCCTATTTTTAGTGTGACATCCCTAGTATTGATATTAGAAGACACCATGAGGAACGTCACATGTTGTATTTGTATAGGCCCAGGCCGAGCCAGAACACACCAGCCCCAGCCCTGTCCTGCTGTCTCCGTCTGAAGTCATCCCTGTGTCCTGTCCCTGGTGCAGCATGACAGACTACCAACCTGAACCCCAGTACTACCACATCATAGCACGGATAGGTATGTACATGTAGTATACATGTACATGTGTGTAGTAATTATCTTTACACTGCAGTATACTACATGTATGTACATGTAGTTGCAATGAAATATATATTCCATTTCTAGACTTATAAGGTTGTTGGCAAACAAGAACTCACAGTAAGTCCTTCCTTTTTGTAGTTGAATTATACTTTTTACCTATTTATTGATTTACAAAGTGCTTTTCAATACACAACCAAAAGAGTTCCTGGGGCAGTATTGGCTGCAGTACTTTGCACTTCAGCTAGATGTCACTGCTGCAGTGTGAAGAAGGCAGTCCCAAATGTGACTAATCATGAGAGCCAGTCAGTATTGCCCTGAGGAAGGTGACAGATGCCGGTCACCAAAATAAAGGCTTGATATATAAAACTCTTTGGTTGTGTACAAAGAACTTTGCTTTTGCAGTCATTTTCCAACTAGATTAAAATGCTCACACTGTTTACCTTTGTTAGTGTTTGTCGCCTCCACTTTGTTTTGTTTATTTGTTTGTGTACTTTTCCGTGTTTCCATGACAGCCGTGGCATGTAAGGGTGCGACCTCCGTGTTCCTGGCGAAACACCGTCCCACCGACACCTTCGTGTCCATCCGCAGAACCAACCTGGACCACTTCCACCTCAACTATGACATCTACACTGGCCTGCAGGTGGGGGCACGTCGGCTTACTGCGCATTATGTATAGTGCATAGCACTTGGGCAGAACTTATTATTTAAGGTCGTATACTTACGGTATTACAGTATTTTGTTTGAAGTCTTCAAGACAGCAGTCGTTTTAGGCCTTAATTTTGTGGTATTTACAATTTCACAGTCTCAATTTACACTAAAATCAAGAAGGTTGTCTATAGTCAAAATGCAGAGTAGGGATATATTTAACTAGAAGGTATAAGAACCATTTGAATTCTTTATTTTGCAGTTGGTACACACACATGGGTAACAAACAGTACAGAATACAACAATCCACAGACACTTACATACCTAGTACATACATATATAAGCCAGAGTGCAGGTTAGGTGCAGAAATACCTGTATACTGGTAGTCCCAATTTTACTTGCACTGATTTGGAGACCAGACATGTACAATGTAATGTACATTCTGCTGTGTTGTGTTGCAGCATGAGATCCACATGACCCGGCTGTTCCATCATGGGCACATCCTCCCCTACCACTGCACCTTCGTCAGCAGCAATGAACTCTGGGTAGTGGCACCTTTCATGTCATTTGGTAAGTTACTACTGTAAGTCACTTAATGTACACTGTATAGCAAAATTTCACGATCTGAGAAAAATGGAGGTGTTCACAGAACCATATGTTCAAGGTGGTGACAGGTGCAGGAAAGAGAAAGTCTACGATTTACTATGTTAGCGGTAATGATAAGTTCATGATACAGAAGTGACCATGAAAAGCATGTATCAAGTGCAAACAACCAGGCTTGTTACAAACAATACATTTGTAGTTCTTTTAAGATTAATTGTATTTTCACACTTTTCAAACATTTGTGTTTAAAATTCTGTAATCAGAAATATGTACTTTTGGCTTAGTGCAAAAACACAGCATGACAATTCCTCTAGGATTCAGAGGTTGGGAATATGGTGACTGTGTCACATGCCCGTAGCCAGGGGGGGTTCGGGGGGTTCGGAAGAACCCCCCCACAAGGCTCAAAGGTCCACTTTTTGGTCCACTTTTCATGTAAAGGTCCACTTTTTGGCCCACATTTAATGTAAAGGTCCACTTTTTGGTCCACATTTTATGTAAAGGTCCAAGATTTTTCTTGAAAAAAGATGGACTGGAATCGTAGAAAAACTGCTCCCTTTGTCCCTTAAAAATTTATCTCTGATTTTTTCTTGGAAATCCTCGCAAAAATGCACGAAATGCCATTTATTTTTTTCAAAATTTTCCGGGGGAGCATGCCCCCGGACCCCCCTAGGAACCTCGCGCCTTCGGCGCTCGCCTCGCGCCTACGGCGCTCGAGGTCCCCTCAAGCAGTGGGAAGAACCCCCCCATTCAAAATCCTGGCTACGGGCATGTGTCATTTGCATAATTAGTCACTACCAGCTGCCCCTGTGTTGCCATAGCAACAGCCTCGGGCCCCCATTGGTCAGCCGTGATGTGCTTGAGGAAGCCGCCTGTCTTGTCAAACTTCTCCACACGACTGTTGAACATGTCTGCCACGACGATGTTCCCACTTCCATCGGTACAGATGCCGTGAGGGCCCTTCAGCTGACCTTCACCACTTCCCTCACCTCCAAACTGGAACAGAAACTGTCCGTCCTCGCTGTACACGTAGATGTAGTAATTCTCACAGTCAGACACGAGAATGTTCCCCTCCCCGTCCACAGTGATGTAACAAGGATATCTCATCCCCTGCTGCTGACCCACAGTTCTCACAAGTGTCCCATCTGGCCAGAACACCTGTATTTCACCATGTCTCTTGGGCCAGTCTCCTGTGGTTTGTGTGATGAGGACGTGGTTCCTGCTGGTGTCCACGGCAACTCCTCTCCACCGCATGGTGTACTGTAGGTCAAACTTCCTCAGCACCCTGCCCTGTTTGGTGTACTGCACTGCAAACTCATCGTCCTCTGACCTCCCCACCACCCACAGGTTTCCCTCCCCGTCTGTGGCCAGGTCTTGTGGGTCCATCTTCTGTTCACCCGACACGACTGTTGGGAACTGTCGGACAAATGTTCCCTGCAGGGTGAAGACTTGGATTCTCTGGTTCCCCCTATCTGTTACACAGATCTCCCCTTCATCTGACACTGTGAGCCCAGCTGGATAGTCAAACTGCCCTGTTCCTGATCCCTCTCCACCAAACGTCACCTTCTGATGAGGCTCTTCCTGTCTTTGGTCACCATGGTGATGACCTATGCCCCTTACTGTATCATTACTAGATGCAGGTGCTGCTGGGATAGGTGCAGATGGGAGAAACTGGACCGTCAGATGTCCCAGTACTGGCTGAAAGACAGCAGGCTGGGTTTGTACAGGAGTTGGTGCTGCTTTTCCTCTATACTTTCCTACCACCTCTGTCAGGTTACCCTCCTGACTAAGAAACTCCTCCCTTCTCTGCTCCATTTCTTGCTCTGCTTGGTCGCAGGCAGCAGACAGTTCATTCACATCTGCCAACACACTCTCCCTTTTACTGTGTACTCTTGACAGGTTTTTTCGGTGGTTTTGTTCCACTTCAGCCAAGAGGGTGTTACAGGCCTGAATGATTCTGTTGTCTGTCTGCTGTTTCTCTTCATTGAGAGTTTTCTCTGTCTCTCTCAGACCTCTGATGAAGCTGCAGAAACCTTCCAGAATGTCCCTTCCCTCGGTGATCAAGGCCTGGACTCTTTCTCTTCTTTCCTGTGCAGCTTTCTTGACAGTTGTTGTGCCATGGCCATTGTGAGCTTCTTCCAGACACTGATCACAAACTGGTGTCTGACAGTCTTTACAGTACAGTCTGAACTCCTCTGATGGGTGAGAGGTGCACATGTTTCCAGACTGGGGTTGTTCCTTTGTGTCCCCTGACAGTGTTGCTTGCTGTTGGAGCCTCTCGCACAAGTGAGCCACGATGTAACTGTCGGGCAAACCTGCGACCCCCTGGGGCGGCAGCCTGACTTTCCTACGGCAGATCGGACACTGTAGGGGCACCCCCCACCCTGCATGGTTCTGTAGACAGTCCTGACAGAAGGTGTGCTGACAGGGCAGCACCTTGGGCCTGGTGAACAGCTCCAGGCAGATGCTGCAGGACAGTTCCTCACAGATCTCTTCCCTTAGACTCGGGCGTGCAGACGCCATGTTGTTGTTGTTCAACTTGATCACGTCTAATGTCTTAAGTTTCAGGTCTTTCTTCTCCCTGAATGGCAGGGTGTCTTGTATTACACATATCATGTTTCTCAATTAGCCTGACAAAATAGGTAGTGGTACTACATGTGACAGGGTCAGTACAATTGCCTAATGTAAACATTATGTCCATGTTGTCCTTTCTTGCATGGTCACTTGCAATTGCTAATATGGAACTGAAACATTCATACATGCACATGGCAATAATATAACACTCATACTGTTCTCAATAATACATGTGTATTTTGTAATTCTAAATATAGTATATAGGACAGATCTGTAGTTAGCTGTTTAGTAGTTGTTGTAATTCATTATACTTTGTACAAGCAATAAAGTTCACATTATTTTTACATCTCTAAAGTTTATAAAACCATGTTGGACTACCATATTAATTTTAAAACCATTTCCTTCTTCAGTATCAGCTTGGAGATTTTGAATCCTAGTGAAACAAGGAAGCCAATATGATATCTAACATCTGTTTTTATTTGTGTGTTTTTTAGGTTCCTGTCGGGATTTGATCAATTCTCATTTCACTGATGGCCTAGGAGAGACTACCATTGCATGTATCCTGAGGGATGTGCTCCTGGCACTGGACTACATACACAAGATGGGATATGTACACAGGTTAGTCACTTTTACTTCAAAGTCTTCCTCTGTGTCTTCACATTTCCCTCATACTGTAAGTTCAGTAAAGGCTGCAGTGCCTAAATTCTGTGGCAAATAAAAAGCTTGCATTACCTTTTTGTTATACATGTACAATGAAGGATCTGTTTATATTAGGAACACCTATTTATGTACACACGTACACATACAGAACTGAATGTACAGTTCTCAGAGCTTTTTTTCTTTTTATTTAAGCCATTGTTTTTAGATCTAACAAATCATTAATTTTGTTTCTCTTAAAAGTATGGCTCTGAAGGAAAGTACAAAATGTAATAATATATACTGAGGTATTTTGTTGGAATTTGCTGGGTTTTTTTTTTAAGTTTGTGTTGTGTTTTCTCTCTGTAGAAGTGTGAAGGGGACACACATCCTGATCTCAGAGCGGGGCCAGGTGTGTCTGACAGGTCTGAGACACTCCATCAGCATGGTACTGAACGGGGAGAGGGTCGGATCTCTACACGAGTACCACTGTAACAGCATCAGCACCCTGCCATGGTTCAGTCCTGAACTACTGGAACAGGTATGTATGGGAGGGGGGTACTGTAGATGGGAGGGGGGTACTGTAGATGGGAGGGGAATACTGTAGATGAGAGGGGATTACTATCAAAAGGGTGTATAAACAAATTGCTTTCTTGAAATGAAGACTAAGCTTTAACTTCCAAAACTTAGACTACAGAAATTGGACTTACCCCAAATGCTTTCCATCCTGTTGGTGTATTGTTTGTCTTTCTGGGAATCCTAGCCTTTTTTCATGATGTTCTAATGTGTTGTTTTCTCCCTCATGTTTGTCAGAACCTGGTTGGCTACGACACGTCTACAGACATCTACAGTCTGGGCATCACAGCATGCGAGCTGGCTAACGGCATCGTGCCGTTTTCTGACATGCCTGCAACTCAGGTAAACATGAACTCCTTGTGTTACAACTTACAAATGATAATCTGAAATAGACTACAAGTCCAAGAGGCCCCAGGTTTGAGTCTTGCCAAGTCACCGATCTAGTGCTCTTGGGAAAGGCACTTAACATGACTTTCCTCACTTCACTCAGGTGAAAATGAGTATTGTAATTTGTATTGTCCCCTGCAGCATTACTAATTGAGTGTGTCGTCACCACGTCTTGTGATTTCATGTTGGAATATTATATATATATATAAGACCTTGTATATCCCCAGATGTTGCTTGAGAAGCTGCATGGGACGACGTAACATAACACACTGGCAAGGTCATTTGCAGTTTGTACTTACTGTACAAAACTGGCCTGATACACCTAAAGGCAATTTACAGGTTACACAAAACAGACAAAGGAACACTGTCTTTCCCCAGGTGTTATTCAAAGGCAATTCTAACCCTACTACTGGATAAATAACTTCCGGACGTTTCGAGTGACATATGTCACTCTTCTTCAGTGTCACCAAATGAACTGGGGTGACAGATGTCACTCAAACGTCCGGAAGTTATCTTTGAATTGTCTTTGAATATTGTTTTACCTGGATGTCTAACTTCATCAACGTTTCCCCAGATGTTGCTAGAGAAGTTGAACGGGACGATGCCCCGTCTCCTGGACGCCACCACGCTGCCCAACGCTGACGACGACGTCCTGACCAGCGCAGGAGGGGATTCTGGGATAGGCGGCAGCATGGCGACGTCCAGCATGATGCGCAGCGAGCAGCTGCCGTACCAGAGGGTGTTCTCACCGGCGTTTCACGAGTTTGTGTTCCTGTGTCTGCAGAGGGACCCTGCCGACAGACCCACTGCTAGTCAACTCCTCACACACTCCTTCTTTAAACAGGTACATGGTCTTCAGGCCTCAAAATTCAACTTTTCTTCCTATTGTCCCTGCACTGTCCCAAAGATAACTTTCAATTGTCCCGAAGTGAGGATGAACTGTCCCAACCTGTTTTTGGGAAGTGTTGTATGACTTCAACTTGAAGTCAACTTTATTTTGCTTTTGTTCACTCCCAGGCAAATTATGATTTCAGAGTAGACAGGAAAGGAATGGAAGGACTTAGATGGCTGCTTTTGATAAATGGTTGATTCTTGGTGCTTTGCTAAGAGGTTTAATGTCTTTATGTTCCTTTAAGATCAGATGTTAACTGTAGATGTCAAAATGAAGAAAATTTAATTAAAACTTAAGGTATTTCATCATGTATTTCTGTACATTTCTTTATTTTGTTTCAGGTTCGAAGAAAATCAGCTGAGAACCTTATAGAATTACTCTACCCCATCAAGCCACTAACAGAAACCTCCCAATGGCCAAAAGGTATGGAAACTTTATTCACTTTTTCTTTAAATTCATTTCCTATGTGTAAGGAATGTAAAGTCTTGGTACCTTTTTTGCTGCAATTTTTTCCAAATCTTTGTGACTGTGACATAACATGTTGTCTTTTAATTCATTTCCTATGTGTAAGAAATGTAAAGTCTCAGTACCTTTTTTGCTGTACTTTTTCCAAATATTTGGGACTGACATAACATGTTATTTTCCCTACAGATGCTGATGGGAGTATTGAGAACAACATTGCTAAGATAGAGGAAATGGATCTGAAAGACGAAGAGGAATGGGACTTCTAGAAAAGTCCACATGTGGCATTCTAGATAATTTTTATCAAATTATTCCTTGCTGTACTTCCTTCACATCATATTGTAATTGTATCATTATAATTTTTATTTACTTCAATTATCACTACAAAACAAGGCTTATAAGAACCATTTACATGTTTTGGGTTACAATATTGAACTAAAATTATGACAATTTTAACCTTTTCCTACTAAGATAACTTTTGCTACTCCAAATCTATTGGTTATACTGTTAGGCAACAGGGAGAAAGTTAATACTGTTGTTTTGCTCAAGTTTCTAGAATATCATCCTTGCGTACCATGTTGGTAGCTGTTGGTTACAACTTGGTTGTACATGCATACTTGGTTGCACATTGCAACATCTTACTGGCTGTAGGCAACCAATTTTGCTTCCATTTTAGGTAAGCTGTCTTCAAATTTAGAAGAAGATTCTTTGGGCAAAAAGGGGATTTCTTGTCTTTCAGTTATTTTGATAATGTTAACCTTATAGAACTGTAAGTTACAAAGAAAAAGAAATGAAAGAAAACAAGAAACAAAATTTCTTTTTTGGTGACTGGAAAGGAATGAAAAACTACTTGTTGGAACATGCTACAGAGTTAATGACAAAAAAATGGACACAGTGTTAAGATTTAAATTACTATGAAGGTGAGTAGCTTTGTTACAAAGTTAACACATTTACCTATTGTTATATACCGTATAAATCATGTTCAAAAATATGTACTATTGTGTATATTATTGTAATATTGAATTACATTAACATAGATATTGATAATCATCAATAACATGACAGCATCAACATTTGTTAGATTTGTGTTTTTTGTTTGCATAAGCCTGTATTTATGTTTAACCTAGGAAAAAATGTTGTGTTGCCAGTTCCCGACACCCTAGCAAAAATCTGCTGACCCTGGCAAGAAAGAAATGGTCTGACATACATGTACTTTCAAGCAGCCTAGGACAGAAACCTTGCATGCTAGGAGCATGTTGTGACAAGCCCTTATGCCGAGGTCACATTTCCAAACCAGGGCCCGGCCGGGCTGTTTCGATCAACAAATTATATCAAGATTATACGCAAATAGTTCCCATTATTCATATTCTCAACTTTGTGCTTTGTTGTCTTTTATATCATACTTTTCACTCAATAACACTGCCCAGCCAGGCCCTGGTTACCAAATCTCCGTCCTTCTGCTACTCTACTGCATTCAAATACCAAGTAACACACAAGCAAATACACGCACATTCACAATCCTGTACCTGGAGGTAGAACTAAAAGTGTCCTATGTTTTGTCAAAATGCAATACTAGTTTGTAAATAGAGCAGTTACTTAATATATGTACTCTTGATGGAGATGTTCAGGCATTTATCCTATCCCATATTGTAAATATAATGTATGTGTTATCATATAATATAAGCTTATTTAGGTTAAGAAAATTGCTAGAAAGCTAATGAATAGGCAGCTATATTGCGTATCCCTAATTCAATAAATGTTATATCCAATTGCAGAGTATAATAAATGATTATTATATAGTTATAAACAGAGAATTCTCATATTAAGCTTTATATTAAGTGTCTTTGTTAATTGATATTTGTGTTTAGTGAATAGTTACCCAAATTACTGCTTATAGCTTCATAGAAATAAACACTCAGATCAGACTGATGATTGTTTATTGTTTCTTTATTATTTTAACATAGTGCATAGTTGTGAATAATAATACATGGACTAGGGATTAAGGTTGTTGACTAAGTATCTAAAGGTTTTGGTTTCTAATGTGTAGGAAGTCCCAATGTGATGTCCTTGGGAAAGGCACTTTTACACCTAGCTTTGGTTTGGGAGCATGCTTTTGGATGGGAGAATTTTCTAGATTTTACTATATAGGTTTGTACTGTTTGCATACTAGTACTTTAATGGTGCTGTATCTAAAAAGTCTTTTGATGTGGATGGAAATTTTTTGCATATTTCTTTTGTCATCCATTAGACACATTGAAATACATAATGTCCTATCCTATGATTCCCAATCCTATGCTGGTATTTTTGCATGCGTTATTTAACTATTTGATACACCACATATTGTAACTTTTCAACTACATTGTACATCTATACACACTGATACATCCCGCATTTATTTACGTGTATACACAACTCCATTGTTTTTCAACTATGTACAACTATATAGAGCACACCTAACTATACTTGATTTTCTGTATCAGTTGCTGTTGTTGTGGCATTGCTTACTATCAGGGAGGTAATTTAATGCAATGTAAGGCATTTTGTCAGATACAAAACTGTCATCACAAATTTCTACTTTCATTCAACGATAATTAATACATATCTATCTGTTGCCACTCCAAAAAATCGATTGTTCTTCATTATTCAGCCATTTGTTCCAGGGGTAAGTTCGCTCCTGTAGGAGAAATTCCTCCCCTAGCTGGCTCTACTTCGCTTTGTCACGAGCTGGCCCATGTTTAACCAAGGATGTGTATACCGCTTACCGGTACCTTGACCGGTACCGGGTGGTCAGAAAACTTTAAAAACCGTAGTTTGTAAAATTCTTTCAAGTATTTGGTCCCTGCGCGTTCACAGCCTCTAGCTGGTAGTTGGACGTCATCACAGAACCAGTTTAAACGTCCTGTTCTTGTCTCTATTCCTGCTCAAGTTCCGCTTGCGGGCGGCTTTCGAGCTCCCCAGCGCGCCGAACTTAGACGACGCCATGTCGAAGTTTTTCCGCTGCGAGTACCTCTTGTGATACCTGGCGGCCTCGTACAGGTGAATGTAACACTCCATGAACTCAGGTATACCCAGGCAGAGCGCCACGATCCCGGCTATAGCCGCGATGGAGCCTACGATTTTCCCGACGATAGTTCGCGGGTAGTAGTCGCCGTACCCGATGTTGATCATGGTCACGATCGCCCACCAGAACGTCTCGGGTATGCTGGTGAATTTGGTGTCGGGATCGTCTATCTCCGTGTAGTACACGACGCAGGAAAACAAAACCATCAACACCGTGGTCATGAAGAAAAACAGGATGATCGCAGTCATACTGTTGGTCTGGAAAAAAAACACAAAGAAAATAGATTGTTTTGGGGTATTTCAAACACTTAAAGTATTAAATGATGACTGAAATGCGCTAAGAAATTGTAGTAATTGTCAATAAGAAACAGATTTCTTCGTCATGAATATTATTCTTTTGCCGCCCTGAAAATGCATTGGATGCCTCTAACACAATAATCAGCACCATGGACAGCAAGCAATTTACCGCCTGCAGCGGCAAAATAAACCTCTAGGTGCGCTCCTACACGATGGAAACCTACCATTGCGTTCCAGAAGAGCTGCATGTCCCCGGAGTACCTGGTATTGCAATGGATGCCTTTAACACAATAATTAGCACCATGGACAGCAACCAATTTACGTCCCGCAGCGGCAAAATGAACCGCTAGGTGCGCTTCTACACGGTGACAAACCTACCATTGCTTTCCAGAAGAGTGCATGTTCTCGGAGTACCTGGTATTGCAATGGATGCCTCTAACACAATAATCAGCACCATGGACAGCAGCCAATTTACCGCCTGCAGTGGCAAAATAAACCGCTAGGTGCGCTTCTACACGGTGACAAACCTACCATTGCTTTCTAGAGGAGCTGCATGTCCCCGGAGTACCTGGTATTGCAATGGATGCCTCTAACACACTGATCAGCACCATGGACAGCAACCAATTTACCGCCTGCAGCGACACCATAAACCGCTAGGTGCGCTTCTACATGGTGAACCTACCATTGCTTTCCAGAAGAGTGCATGTCCCCGGAGTACCTGGTATTGCAATGGATGCCTTTAACACACTAATCAGCACCATGGACAGCAACCAATTTACCGCCTGCAGCGACAAAATAAACCGCTAGGTGCGCTCCTACACGGTGAAAAAAGGCCATGAATGCAATGGATGCCTCTAACACAATAATCAGCACCATGGACAGCAACCAATTTACCGCCTGCAGCGACAGCATAAACCGCTAGGTGCGCTCCTACACGGTGAAAAAAAGGCCCTGAATGCATTGGATGTCTTTAACACAATAATCAGCACCATGGACAGCAACCAATTTACCACCTGCAGCGGCAAAACAAACCGCTAGGTGCGCTTCTACACGGTGACAAACCTACCATTGCTTTCCAGAACAGCTGCATGTTCCCGGGGTACCTGGTATTGCAATGGATGCCTTTAACATACTGATCAGCACCATGGACAGCAACTAAGTTACCGCCTGCAGCTTCAAAATAAACCGCTAGGTGCGCTCCTACACGGTGACAGACCTACCATTGCTTTCCAGAAGAGTGCATGTTCCCGGGGTACCTGGTATTGGATTGGATGCCGTTAACACAATAATCAGCACCATGGACAGCAACCAACTTACCGTCTGCAGCGGCAAAATAAACCGCTAGGTGCGCTTCTACACGGTGACAAACCTACCATTGCTTTCTAGAAGAGCTTCATGTTCCCGGAGTACCTGGTATTGCAATGGATGCCTTTAACACAATAATCAGCACCTTGGACAGCAACCAATTTACCGCCTGCAGCGACAAAATAAACCGCTAGGTTCGCTCCTACACGGTGACAAACCTACCATTGCTTTCCAGAAGAGTGCATGTCGCCGGAGTACCTGGTACTGCAATGGATGCCTTTAACACACTAATCAGCACCTTGGACAGCAACCAACTTACCACCTGCAGCGACAAAATAAACCGCTAGGTGCGCTCCTACACGGGGAAAAAATCTACCATTGCCTTCCAGAAGAGCTGCATGTTCCCGAAGTACCTTGTATTGCATGTGGATGCCTCTAATACAATATCAGCACCGTGGACGGCAACCAACTTACGGCCTGCAGCGACAGAATAAACCGCTAGGTGCGCTCCTACACGGTGACAAACCTACCATTGCTTTCTAGAAGAGCTGCATGTCCCCGGAGTACCTGGTATTGCATGTGGATGCCTTTAACACACTAATCAGCACCATGGACAGCAACCAACTTACCGCCTGCAGCTTCAAAATAAACCGCTAGGTGCGCTCCTACACAGTGACAAACCTACCATTGCTTTCCAGAAGAGCTGCATGTCGCCAGAGTACCTGGTGACTTTGACGATTCGCAGCATGCGGACCAGCCGTGCTATCCACATCGCGCTCACGATCCGATTAATCTGATCCGTGGGATGTGAAGAACTGAAGACAACAGCGGAAAAATATGTTAAAATCACACTCGGCAAAACGGTGAAGAAATAAATTGAAAACATGGGCGAAAAATACGTGTAAATCCCACTGGGCAAAACGTTTTTGGCAACGCCTGAGTGGCGAGCCTAATAGTATTGTTTGTAACAAGTTTGGAAAATTCTACAATTTCTACTCTTTCTAATCGCTTTCCGAAGCCTGTGAAGCTAAACTAACATTCGTTGTACTCTTAAGCATAGATTAACGACTCGTCAGAGGCAGACCTGGCCAAGAGAGGTTTTGTCAGTTGGCAGTGAGTTGTTAACTATGTTTGTGCAAGCCCGGAGTGAAGACTCACGTCACTTCCATGCCCAGCTCCGCGAAGTACAGAACGATCCCGATGAAGTCCAGGACGTTGACGTAATCCTTGACGAACCTGCACCGGTCTGAGCACGTCACAAATCCTGACAGAACATTGATTGATTATTTTATTATCCTTATTGTATTGTTATGAAAATATATGTATTACTTTGCTTTAATTTTGGTCATTTTTGTTAGTATAGAGGATAGGGGCTTGGAATAAGCTATATACACCCTTTCCTCCTCCTTTTATCTATTGTTTATTGTATTATGTCTTCGGACACAAAGTACCAGCCATCATTGTATTATGTAGTTTCTTGTTGTGCACATAAGCAAAGGAACTAGGCCAAAGTGTGTAATAATTTATACAGATTCAGTTATATCAAGCATATTCTAAGTTTAATCATAAAACATGGTGGACAATATTACGTCATGGTCACGTGAGTGCAAACACCCATTGCGTCATACCTAGCACTAACTCCAGAGTGAACCAGGCCACGTAGATGGTTTCTGCCACGAAGAACGGGTTCTTTGTGACCGGAAGGTAGGCGGTACCACCGCTGCCGTTGGTGGGGGTGTGCAGCCACTGTTGCACCTCCGGCATGGTCTCCATGCAAGTCACCACCACACTCATCAGTATCATGACCACACAGATGCCTGCCGGGTGGTTAAAAAAGTAGAGGTAAGAAAACCTGGGAGATCATTGTGTTCTGCCCTTGGGAAGGGGCATGTGGAATTGAATACCTAGCTTCGGTTAGGGACGTAAAGCTGGAGGTCCTGTGTTTGAGGAGAGCCAGTTCTCGAAAACGACTGATGAAGGTGTCTTGTGGTAAAATTTGTCCTTGGATCTATGGACCTAGTATGTACACTTGCCCTGGCAACAGTCTGGCACCCAAGTAAGTAGATCATTCCCAGATCTGTATACCAGCTTTGCAGGCACGTGAAGCGGCGACCGTTAGCTATAGTACACCGGCATAGTAACCAACAGCAGGTCTTGTTTAGAGCTATCTGGTGCCCCAACTGTACTTGGTAGCAACGAGTTCCACTCTAGTTCTTCGAAAATTTTGAACACCTCAATTGTTGGTTGATAAGTCTATTGCACCTGTATCATATCTAATATCATAGAATCTGACATAAACGTACTTGTTACGATCTGGGCCAAGATGGATGACTTCGGCTCGTTGAAGAGAAGCCAGATTTTCTTCAGCCTCTCGTCTTCAGGCGGCGGCAGGAGTTCTGGAGGAGGAAGCTCCATCCCTTCTTCTTCTTTGTACCTGGGAAGAACGGGAAATCAAGACGGGTGTTCTGTATCTGTATACTGGGTATGGGTGCCCTTCGGCATAACACATCAGCTTCTGTATCTGTATACTGGGTATGGGCGCCCTTCGGCATAGCACATCAGCTTCTGTATCAGTATATCCGGTATAAACTTCATGTATACCTCACAGGCTGTCAACTGTGCACAATTCCAGCCCTTAGAACCCTCAGGCACAGAACTACAGACTACACCGGCTTCTGCATCTGTAACTGTAAGTGTATCAAGCCAGTATGTTCTGCGTAACACACCAGCCTCTCTCTCTCTCTCTCTCTCTCTCTCTCTCTCTCTATCTCTATCTCTCACTCTCTCTTTTCTTCATTATATCTTTACCTTTGTAAAGTTTCTTCTCCGACATCGTAAAACTCCAGCTCGTCCAGGAAGACCTCCGCGGGGACCTCCTCGGGCCTCTGCAGCACGCCGCCCGTCTGGTAGTACTGCAGGATCGCCTCAAAACTGGGACGATGTCTGGCAAATACAGGAGCACATCTTGTTTAAATTCAATACTTTTGATCCAACGCAATAAAGTTCTGTGACCTAGAGCTTTCGACCAGTCACTCTGGTCTTCCTCAGTAGACTGACCTAGTGAGGCTTGCCACGTGGCTTATTTGAAGTGTGACGTTAACACTGGGTCAAAGGTATCTGGTAGACGATGTCGGCCCCCGTCGCGGTTATTTGAAGGGTGGTGGGCCATGATGAAAATAGCCTCTTTCACCCCTCTCAGGAGATATATTATAATACTATTAAGATATTAGGTGGGGCTAGTTGTGGGATCTATAGTGCCTTTTGTACGTATTTACCTGTTTTGCACAGTTACATGTGTACATTTCTAGCACTGTCATTGTGCGACATCAGGTATGTAGACTGTAATCATTTTAGGATAAATTATGCATGAACCACGTGGATGGAATGTTGTGGTTTATCCTGGTAAACACCCGCCAGTGTCCACAATAGAAGAGCAGCACCCAATTTTCTCTGAGTGGCCAATCCTGTGCTCATAAATTATGCAGGTACGGCCGTAATGTAAACTTTCATGCTGACACACTCGAACACACACAGGACAAAGGACCGGTGAAAGTCTAGCCCTCGCGTACTGTCTACTGTGAACTTTCGCCTGTATTCGTATTGATGTCAATGAACGTCTGATGTAACGAATTGTTCAAACGAACCATCTAAAGTCTTTGATAGTATGGTGGGATACCCAGGATCGTGCCTCACGGGCAAATCTATGTTCTTGGATACGCAAGGAGACTATTCAGGACCGTGCCCGATCCTAACCCATATTCAGGCATAGAACTAGATTCTGGTTCTGGATACTATAGGACTCTTCTGTATCTGTATCTGTATCGGTATAGCCGGTTTAACCGCTCTTCGGCGTAACACACCAGCTTCCCAGGCACGCGGCGTGGCGGCAGCTAGCTATGTCACACCGAACGACAACTTACCTGTCAAAGAAGTATTCATTCTTGTTAGCGTCGTAGTACCATTTCCTCCTGCGATTATCTCCAAGCAGGCTGTCAGGGTAGGTCTCCAGTGTGGCCATGGTCGTCACAAACCTGCAGGAACAGGTAGAAAGGTGTTTAGGGTTGTTGACTTGGTTCGAATCCTAGCGGGCCCCGACGCTGTACGTGCTCTCGAAAAAAGCACTTTTAAGTTAATAAAACTAACATTTTCTCACTCGATTCAACTAGTGTAAGTGAGTTAATGTAGCTTAGGTTAGGGACGTCCTCTCGGATGGGACGTAAAGCTGGAGATCCCGTTTTGAAGGAATATAGTACTTTTTTTCTTCTACCCTTTACCTTAGTTATCTAACCTAATGCATTTATCCTATGTAGGGCGTGGATATGCCACCGAACTTATTTAAAATAGTATACGTGGGGATCTATCCCAGTGTGAGTGGATGGATGAAACGTATAACAGTTTGGTCTTAAGGAATAATGGAACATGTGCTTGCCTTACAAAACCGGTACGTTACTCCTACGGGGACTGACCCGTTTTTCCAAACAAACAAACAAACAAACAAACAGACAGACAGACAGACAGACAGACAGACAGACCTGAGGCCACTGACGTTGATCACCACCTTCTGCACGGGACCGACCAGGGCGCTCCTCCGCGGAGCGGGCGGGTTGTCTTCCCTCCTCCTCCGCCGAGATCTGCTGGTAGCCCCTCTCCTGGACGCTCCCTGTCCGCGAGACAACATGATCCTCACTCAAGGTATACTGGCGATAGAACGTATCCGTATGTGGTCCGTATACTTGTACGAGTCCTCGTATAAATCCAGGGCATAGATCCGTATACAGTATTACATAGAATGGACAGATGTCTGTCAGTGTGTGAATCCGTAGACCGACAATATATCCTCTTGTATCCTCCCTTAAGGTGCACTGGCGATGGAACGTATCCGTATAGGTCCGTATACTAGTACGAGTCCGTATACTAGTACGAGTCCGTATACTAGTACGAGTCAGTATACTAGTACGTGTCCGTATACTAGTACTAGTCCGTAGTACTAGTATACTAGTACGAGTCCGTATACTAGTACGAGTCCGTATACTAGTACGAGTCCGTATACTAGTACGTGTCCATATACTAGTACGTGTCCGTAGTAGACTAGTACTAGTCCGTAGTACTAGTATACTAGTACGAGTCCGTATACTAGTACGAATCCGTATACGGGTCCGCGTAAAGGATGTATCCTACTGTAGGTGTCCGTATACAGAATGTATCCACTTGTGTGAATCCGTATCCATAACATGTATATATCCTATTGACGTCCGTATACAGAAGTTAAACAAAAATAACGGAGAATGTATCTTTCCGTGCTATATATTCAACGCGAACATAGTGAATGAAACCTGACACACGGTTTGAACCGCCGCCGGCCCATATGTCACCACACCCACACAATAGCAAACAGAAAGGTCGTTGCTATTATAAGATGAACGTAACGTTTGCTTTTTCAGCCGTCTCGCCGTCGCTAGGTTGGTCCTGTGCTCTTCCAAGCGTTCTGTTGTCTATTACGTTTGTTTGTTCAGCCGTATCGTCGGCTTAAGAGGGGTCGTCACATAGCTCGGCCGACGAGTCTGCAATCTTTAAACTGTCCTTTTCCGCAGGTGTCCTCCCGATCACTGGCCGAGTTTCAGGGAATGTCCGATTTTCGCAGTTTAGCGAGCCCCGTCCATCGTGATGAGGTAGATTTTCATGTTTTCAGGCAGAAATTACGTACATACACTTCTCGACTCTATGACGATTCTGTTTAATATTCGTCGATCTTTTGGCGGCTCGCCGAATTCGGCGTACGGTGGTTGACAGTGTGACGGCTCCCTCACCTGGATTATTTTCCCCGTTATGCAACAGGATCAAAAGCGAACCCTGCTAAAGCCTGCTCGCGGAGTTTTCCCGGATTTGGGCATGATCCGGCTTACAGAGCGCAAAGGACAACAGTCACGATTTTACGTAGCGACAGTTCGATTTGAAATGCCACGCTTTCAACCATAAACATAACCTTAGTTGGAAGGTAAATATCTCTGAATGGTTGATAAGTAATGTACAGCTATACCTAGATGTTTAACCTTCATCGACGTAACACACAGTTATTGTTTGTTCTGTCGGCCGATTCATAGAAATTCAATAGTATGCTTTTGCGTGTTCAATCAGTATGATCAAATATACCTAACTGGACGTATTAAGGAACCACATATCAACGAAAAAGATTAGATTTAAAAAAGAGAGGGTTATATGCTTTGTTCTCACAATGCAATTACGACGAGTATTATGATCAATCCATCTACCTACCTAACGTTACAACCATACGTGATGCAACGTTCTAAATGTGTGTAAACAGGCGCGCGACCCCAACAACTCGGCTTCTCTATTACATCGAGTCACCTGGAAAAAGAACCACGTCCTTCCGTCTGCAATCTTCCTACGTGTTAAGATCCGTGAATGTTGCTTGAAGTGTCCCACCGGCTCCTTGAAAGATGTACGTATCCGTCATCCTCCTATAGCTGCCACGATAAGACCATAAAATGTCTCCTTCGCCAATAAACCTTAACAATCCACAGGTGTACAGTGTGTTTAGAGGATATAAAGGGGTTTTCAGCGAAGCTGTTCTGGGGTTGTTATTACTTACGGATTAACGATTAATAGGCGTGTTATGGTTAACAATGGGCAAGTATTAAATTTTCATGGCTGACACCGACGTGCGTTAATAATGAATGAGACTTCGGGCAAGTAAATGGCGAGGCGGGCCATTTCTTTGAAAGTGTCTGAGTTGTAGTTTCATAGGAAATACGAAAGTTGGCCATGATATAAAAGTAGTTAACCTTATGTGGTATTTACAACTAATTTGATACTGTTGAACTGATGTAGCTAGTCGTCGCTATTTGAATTGAATACTCAAACGGATTAAATACTCATGCTCTATTCGGGAATAAAGTGGCAATAATGATCATGATTGGTGAAATATACTACACTTTTCCTCTTAACAAGTATATGGTAAGTCCGTACCATCCGAAAGTTCGGACATAATCTTCTGATTTTTTCGTTGCCATGGTAATCCGTTACGTCACAAAGATGACCTAATGCATGATAAAAACTGTGTCATTTATTACCAACGCACTTAACGTAGGTTTTAAGTAGGGGCATTTATCAGGGACATGTGCTCATGTTGACAAATCTACCTATCTCTACCTACGTACTATAGTCATTATATTTACACAAATACTCGGCAAAATACATCAATATCTTTCCTCGCTTTTCTAGCCATTTTTCAACGAAGTAAAGTGACAAAAAAACATGACAAATGGAGAAACTCATTGAAAGCTTTTTAAAAGTTGAAACATGCATGACTATGAAAGCTTACAAATGTATGACCTTTCGGTAAAATGGATTGACATTTAATGTATCGTTTTACCACAGACGACAAAGGGTATAATAACAGTACTTAGGCCTCTAGTCTAGTAACGAAACAGATGGACGTTAAATATTTGATGAAGGTACACAAAATATGATGGGGGCCGTGACATATTATAGGTCTATTAGAGCTCGCTTTTGTACGCTTGCCCCACTTAATTTGCCGTGCTCTTTAAGTACGTTGTAATAAGGCTAAAACAAATTAATTTCGTGGTTCTTATATTATTGTGTACTGTATCACAAAAAGGTAGCTAAGCCACACACACTTTAAACGTTTACGTAGACTGTGTACGTTATTTTTTAAATTTAGCTGCTGTACTCTTTGATAAGCGAACAAACTCCCTTGACATGTTATCTGTCTGTTTGGCCAATTTCTGCTATTTCTAGTCGCTTCTGAAGCCTGGTAGAGACTAGCCAGCCACAGTAGGGAGCCGGCGGTAACTACAGGGATGCCAGAGTATACAGTGCAATTTTACGGAATACCGTACAATCGTACTAGTATACAGTGCAATTTTACTAGTATACAATTTTACTAGTAAAATTGCACTGTATACTAATACGATTGCACTGTATTCCGTAAAATTGCACTGTATACTAATACCATTGTACTGTATTCCGTAAAATTGCACTGTATACTAATACCATTGCACTGTATTCCGTAAAATTGCACTGTATTCCGTAAAATTGCACTGTATACTCTGGCATCCCTGACTACAGAAGGATGTAGGTCCAGAGTTGGTCGCTGTTCAAAATCGCCTCTTGACGGAAAGAACAGGTACTGCATACAGCCCTGACATTGGTTTCCACCAGGCTCCCTTGGAACCGCACTATTTAATATATATAAAGAAGGACAAATATTCATCACAATTTTAAGGCTATTTTCCCCTTCGATTTACGCAACGTTACAAGTTGTGTAAATGTTCCTTTCTGGTCATATCAGGCGCTCGTCCCCACAGCAGTTGCCAAAAAACGTTTGGAAATTGAGTCTCATTGAGTGACAATTTCTCAGAAGAAAAATGATGATATACTTTCCGTTGAAGTGTATTTTCAGTTTTCATAACAAAACTGGCCACTTTAAAGTCTTTTTATAATAAAAAGAAGCAAGAAGGGAGATGCTATTAAAGGGAAAGGTGCGTCAGGCACAGTCTTGTGACCGTGCCAGGACAGCCTTGGTACTGCGTTAGGACCCTGGTGTCAATCATCAAAACATCAACAGAGCGAAGAGGAAGCAGAGGGCTGTCGTACAGTCTAGCCTCAACACCCCCAAAATATCCGCTCTTTTGTGTAGGAGTGTGCTATCCACGTGCCAGTAAGTATAAACTTGTTCCTCTCTTGTAGCTTTGAACCAGCAGTGTTTACGTGTTTTATCGCTAGCGAGGTTTTTGCGTGGGGAGTTTGAGGGACGAAAATCGTGCTCCGCCTTCATCAGGAGTTCATATCGCTTCCCCAACGGGGCACTGGCGGCCAGAACTGTCAAAATAAAGTTACCGCCGGACTGTTTTCAATTAAGATTTAAAGTGCCGGGGATTCAACCCGACAAAAGAGTTCTAAATCTCGATTTGGACGGAGTTTCATGGCGTAGATGTCTGTATTTTTGTCAGGCTTGTAACTTTAGCAGTAGAAAACAGAATCTTCGGAACTTGAAAGTCGAAGACTGTAGCGGAACGTCCTTTGACAACTGGAAAGAAAACATTTAACGGTTCCACTCTGATTATTCGGACACTTTCTTTCGCATATCACTCAAATTTTCTTCACGTATTTTCCTGAACATATTACATGGACTACGCTTCCTGCACCCTTTTGGAAAGTAGAGCCTTTGTTGTTGATGGCGACAATAATAGGAAGCGACAATTTTGGGGTTTAGAAGCCGGGAGTATCCTTTCGGGGCTCTCACGGTTGGGCGCCCCTCGATGGAATTACAAGGGGGTTGAGTTGCCGAAAGTACCGGTGCTGTCTTGTCTTTGTCACGGGAAATACGAGTATATTCTCTTAGTTCTAGTACCTAGGAAAAAAACAGTGGATTTCTTAAGATATGTGTAGATTAAGCTACTTGCTGTCGAAAACTTAAAGGGTATAACGTTACTAGCAACAAGGAATTGTTGCAATTGTGTCCTCAGTATCTGTTTTGTTGTTGTCTTGTCACCATTTGGAAAAAGCGGACCACCATCCCTTCCTAAAGGTGACAGTTCGCCAGTATATATGTCTTTCTCTAATGATTTTAAAAGCTGTGACCAAGACAATAATCACAAGTTGTGTGTAGACACCATAATGTGTATGACAGCAGGG